ATCACGTGATGTTCCCGCCTCTGGGGAAGAGCTCACGGAAACCAGAACTGTGGATCCCACGTGTCAGGACCCCCGGGGCTGACTCCAAGGCTGTAAATCCGTGTAAATCCGTGCTTCAAAGCCGCTAGCCACTCCCTGGCTGCCGGACCGGGCAGCGCTGCGCTCTGCTGCGCACTGGTGGCTGAGTCGGAGCACCTAACCACAACAGGTCTAGCTCAGTTCTAGAGATTCCCTCCCTCGAGCCCCAGCTCCCAACCAGCTCCTCCGGCTCTCTGTGGGAAAGAAGACCAGAGTCGGAAGCTGAGGACCAACTTCCCGAATCTCAGAGCTGGCACGTGGGGAAGACCAAGGCCAAGGGGTGCGCTCGCCCAAGGCTACGCAGCAAATCTGAGGCAGGGCTGGGCCGGGAGACCACGCTGGGGAGGTGGTCCAGCTTCCCCACCGGCCCCCGCCCGCCACGCCGAAGCGTGGGGCTCTCCTCGCATGGATCTTGGTTCCGACTCAGGCTGCACACTGGGCAGCTGGGAGGGAATTCCTTGGCCCTGCAGGTGAGGCAGGTTCCTCAGGGCGGGGGAAGCTTGGCAAGTTCTCAGGGCCTCTGGGCGAGCTGTTCACGTGGTGCCTTGGCTGCCCTTGGTGGGGACCGACGGACATCCCCAGACCAGCACACGGTTGAGCCTTCCAAGGACCCGAGAGCCCAACCAGGGTTGTAGGCGCTGGGCCGCTCACAGTGTCCATCAGCCTTCTAGACCAGCGGCCCTTTCATACAGTGCCTCATGTGGTGGTGACCCCCAACCATACAATTAGTCCGTTGCTACTTCATCACTGTCATTTTGCTACTGTTACGAATCGGCCAACCTCTGAAAGGGCCACGGCCCACAGGTTGCGAGCCACTGTTCTAGACAGTGGGGATGGAGAGAGACCGAGTCCTGCTCCGGGAGATGAGTTCCAACTTCTACACAACGTTGAGGACGTCAAAGAGACCTTACGGATATTTGGAACCCTGGGAAATTCCTTCAGTGCATCAGGATTTCTGAGGGCGTGACCCTCAAACCTCAAGTTCTGAGGTGCCAAAGACCCCCGTCTCAGCATGACAGTCACGGGGAAGATCTACCACGTCTCAGGGAGGCCCCGAGTCCCCGAGTGCTAGGGAAAGTCCACAGCTTCCAGGGTTCGAGAGTCGCCTTCCTCCATTTCTCAGCAAAGGCTTTTGGGTTCTGAGGGTCTGGACACCTTTTCTGGTGGCTGCTGCTAAAGAAATGGACAGACATGGGCTTAGGAGACGGCGGTGCTGGAGATCTGTCCCCATCCGTCCTGGAAATGGAGTGGAATCTGCCGAATTAGAGGCCGGGCTGGAACAGGAAACTGGAAAACCATGGCTGGCTTCAGTGGGAGAAGGGCTCGTCCAAACAGAGGAGCCACCGACAGCCAGGGCCCCCTGGGTGGTCTCCTCCATCCTCCCGGCTAAGGAGAGCTCTCACTCTCACGCTCAGTGCCAAGGGCCTCCCCTGCCCGGGCTGAGGACCGCCCAGCAGGCAGGGACCTGATTCAGAGATAGGGTTGGGGTGCTGGGGAGCAGGGGGAACCCAGGCACGCATTCGCAGACTCACCGGAGCTGTCAGTTTCAGGGAAAGAGACTTTATGAGCCTGCTCATCCCCTTCAGGCCCTCACTTGCCACCTCCCCGGGGCCTTCCTTGGCTGGACTCACACCCCAGAGAGAAGCTCCCTGGAGCATTGGCTTCCCAGCACGTCTCACCATCCCCCCGCCCCTGGTCTCCCCCCCTACTGTCCCTGTTCTTGATGTCTTGTCCGTGCTCTGGAAGGGTGTGTGCACACCCACCCCCATGTTCACCCAGAGCCAGTTCTCAGTACAGATTTGTTAAATGGATCTTTTAGCCCAAATGGCCCATCTCATCAAATGGCCACAGTGACTGTGGTAGTTACCTAATTTCATGTCAACTTGATACAGAAAGTGAAGGGGTGGAGTTTAGCCTGATGATGCCTTCTGGTGGGCGTGGCTTTCCCACGAGGATGCTGGGAACTTCCTCTTTCTCCTTGGAGGCGGGCCCACACACTCTCTCTGCCTTGGGATTCCTGTTGACCTGCCACGTGGAGACCCACGCCAGCGCTGACATGCTTCCACTGCCAACGGATCCACAAGACTTTCCACCCACCAGCCTGTGATCTTTCACCCTCATTGCATGTGCTGCGTGGGTCTAAAGAGGAATTTATGGACTAGTATTGGGCAAGGAGCTAATACTGGATTTAGGGACTTGATCTGGACTGGGCTGGGATGTTTTCTCAATATGTCTCTGGATTTGTTTCTCTAGCCAATTGAGATAGTTTATTGTGCCAGCCTGGCTGATAAACACAAGTGGGATAAACTGAAGGGCAGAGAGATAAATGGCTTGGTGAGCCTCGCCTTTCTTGTCTCTCGTTCTGTGATCATCTGACCAGTGTGCGGCTGCCTTGCTTGTTCTGTGCCTCAATTTAAAGGCTACACTACCTGTGGGATGCCTAGCCTGTGGACTGTGTCG